AAATAAATAAAATAAAATAAATAAAATAAAATAAAGCAGCTACAAGTCGACCAAAAGCCTGTCTGATTAAAAATGTTTTCAGATACCTTGTAAAAATTTCACAGGAGTCGACCGATCTCAGCTGTAAAGGAAGAGCATTCAGCAGTTTTGGTGCGAGAGCTTAAAAAGCACAATCACCACGGGTTTTGTACTTGGATCGAGGGACAAATTGGGGTAAAGGAGGTCGGAAGGAGGGTGAAGGAGGTCAGAATATACCGTAGTGATTGGCCACGTAAAGCCTTAAGAGTGCATCCACCAGGCAGGAGCGGCACAAACCATCTCACCTATGTCGATGAACCTGGCCAATTTGAAGGGGTCCACCCAGAACTACTTCAGTCTAAGTTTAAGGAAGTTTGGTCAAACCTGGGGGGAGTTGGTCACCCCCTTGTTTTTTTTTTTTGTTTTTTTTTTACAAAAATGACAAAAAAATCACCTAAAAAATTGCTCAAAAGCATGAAGCTCTACTGCTATAAGAATTCAACCAAATCATTTCATATTTTCAGTGAATGTTATCCTACCCAAGGACAATTTATTGTCAACGCTTCGTTCTTCTGTGATTAGTTCCATCACACAAATCATGTCAGCCAAGACCGCCCCTCTCACCCAAGCTGTTAAAATACCCAAAGTTTAGGCCAAATATCTCCAATGCCGGAGCACACTTCAAAAAACAGAGTATACCGTCTAAAAAGTGGGACTTCATACTAACATTATCTGCAAAAAAATCTTTGGGTACTCATTGAATTATTCTACAGGAGGACTGCAAATATGTCTTCCACCACAGGCTACCCGCGTCAATTTTTTTTCATTATAACACATTGATTCTGTAATTATGGCACAGCAACAGATACCACAAAATGGTTACACACCATAAACTTTAATGACATAGAACCATTTCAAAAGCTTTTGTTTGTCCTTAGCCATAAAAATAAGAATCAGTGGCTTAATAATGACCTCTATTAGTGTATAAGTGAACCACGTGATGGGATTCACTCTTCACTAAATCAAACACGCGAGTTATCGAACGCTATCAAAATGCTTACATTTTCTGTAAACGGACATTAATGTGCAAATAACGCGCTAAAGTCCAACCCCTAATATACTTTAAAGCGTTAATTATGATTAGTTAATTACAACAAAAATAACACATTAAAAACATTAACACATTTGCATCCAGGCAACACGGAACATTTGTCGGTGCCCGATTTCATGGTCCACCGATCACACTGATGCACAAGATGCATCAGCGCTACGCTAACAACAACAAACATGGAGGAATCGGATGAGAGTGCATTGCTTGGACTGATGGAGGGCAAGTTTAGTTAAAAAAAAACTGCCTGATGGAAGCCTTGACAAGACCGTGGCTTTGTGCAACTTGTGCAAAAAAGAATTTGCATCCCACCGAAGCACATCAAGCTTACGGTACAACCTGAATGCAAAGCATGTTGTAGCAAGCACAGAAACCGCCGGAGCTGTTAGCGCGAGCAGTCCTGGATAGTTGTCCTGTTGTAATTAATTAATCGTAATTAATGTGTTGACACATTAAAGTCCCACCCCTAGTTAGAATAGCCATCCATTATCTATACACCTTAATCCTCACTAGGGTCGCGGGGGGCTGGAGCCTATCCCAGCCGACTTAGGGCGAAGGCAGGAGACACCCTGGACAGGTCGCCAGTCAGAATATAAATAATAATATAGTAAAATGTACTTTTGTGCATCCAAAAAAGAAATAATACATTTGCTTGAAACTTGCACAGCTGACATCGCATCTTAATACAGAAAACTTTTTCAAAAAGACTTTGCTCTACTAAATATAAATTGATTAGCTTGCGACTCAATGTTGGTTGACTAATACGCCTAAAAAGGAGAAAAGCGTTTGGCTGTAAAATAATCTCTGGAAATTACTTCCTGGCAGGCGCATACACATACATGTTTGGAATTTGACAGTTTGATTCGATATTCCATTCCATTCCACAACTTTTTGCTTGTGGAATCTGGAATCTTGGACTTTGGAATGTGGAATACAGCTCAAGGAATCCGGAATCCCACTAATGATTGAAATCCAGAACCCAAGTTCCACTGACAAAGACTAGAATACAGTACCTGGAATCCAGAATCCACTGCATGGAATCCAGAATCCAAAACTGTCTTAGATTCCCTTACATGGGGCAAAATCATCAAGAAACCAAAGCATGCATAAGTACCATATTTACATTGAGTGATCATGCTTAGCTGAGCCTATGGGAACCAAAACATCCCACGTTTCCTTTATCTCCTTTGACATTTTCAAATTCACTCCTCTGGATACTTTACCCTTACGGCAACCATGCAGTGAAAGCTGGCACTTTCTTGAAGGACCATATTTTACTCCAAGTAAAGGGCGATGCAAATAACCATATCCTAACCCTCCTCTTTAAACAAACCGACACAAACACACACTCTTCGTGAGGAAAGAAAAGAGGGTGGATTTTGTATTCAAATAATCACAGGTTTTGGTGAGTAAAATGAATTATATCCAGTTAATATTAACGCTCCTGTTAGATGTGATGTATGTGGTGCAGCTGTGGCTGCAGTGAAAGGAGACGTGTTGAATTGTTTTAACTGGGTTTCTTGCTTTAGTGATGGCATTCATTCTCGCTACATGAGATACCTGTCTGCGATGCAACTTCCTGTTAGACTGCCTTTCTGTATAATACTGATGGTTTCTATAGCTTGGCGTCATAATGACAGTGTTAAGAGGTGGTTTGATTCAGGTAGGACGCCACTGAAGGCCTAGGAGTAAAATGCGCCGCCCGCCACTAGTAGAAATATCAGAAGATCCATCCATCCATTATCTATACACCGCTTAATCCTCA